GCCTGAGTTGCTTGGTCTTCCAAAATACCAAGTTAACATGTATGGATACCTGTTACTAAAAAAAAAAAAAAAAATTTAAGTTATTACAGGAACAGACATAATCTAGGAGACCAGTGAGTCTGCTAGATCTTTTATATGAAGCTGATATGCAACAGAAAAAGCTTAGGTGATTTTTTTTTAATGTCTGCTCTAGATAACATTGCAATCCTTCAATGCAAACAAAGGGAGAAGTATCACAGCTTACAGTTCATCAGTATTTGTTATTTGCCAGTAAGTCCAGACACTTCCTGCAGAAACTCAAGATATAAATAATAAATAAAATACAGCATTGCTCTTATCTCTAAAGTACAAAGTAACAAGCATTGCAGCACTATATATATCACACATCCATATAACCTAATTCCTACACTTCAAAAAAAAAAAATTATTATTTCTGATTTCTTAACTTGAATAGACCACAATAAATATCTGAGATTCTATTCAATAGCACTCCAATAGCATTGAGAACAGGCCGCACATTTGTATTTACTACTGATTTACCACTTCTTAAAACTAGATCTTTCAGAAAAAGTTCAGACATCAATCCCAAATCAGGATATAATTCCTGCACTGTTTTATACGAATGTCAGATTTTCCCTAAAAACTGAGTTTCCAGAGCTCAGACATGAGCAAATGAGTGTGCAATCAAATCTACATACCAGAAAACTGATGGCTACAGTAACAAGTATATTAAGTCAGTACACTGGGCAAAGGTTCTCTTACGGTTACAGTCATTTGACCTTTAGCCAGCTCTTAATGCCCCAGCCAACCCTCTAAAGATGGAGATTTGCAGCAGCTTCTTGTCTGAAATAAGCCATGAAAAGATTCTTCTGAACCCACTGTACAAGCATTCATTTAAAATGTCATGAATGTGCATGAAATCAGAGTGCTCCTAACAGCTTACTTTGCAGCTTCTGTTTAAATGCACTAACTCGGAACCACCAGAGGATAAAAGGACTCAAACCTTCCAGTCTGGCACTCATGGACCTAAAATATACACAAGCACCTCTTCACAGGTGTGTTTACCTAGTTTAAACCTTATTTAAATAGACTCTCGATGCACACACTTTCCACAAACACCTGCTTCTCCCACTGCAGTGCTGACTTGTACAAGGCAGTTGTATTCAGTCATTTTCTGTCCTAAAGCCATCCTACACACCAGTGAGCAGTACTTCAGTCACGACAATCCTGGTTACTGACTCATCCCCCCAGTCAGAGCAACGCACAAATTTTGCAATGAGGAGAACGACTACAGAAGTACCTGCTCTTACCTCTACATCATACTGGAATGGTCTGAAGACTTCAACAGCCACAGCAAGATTTAAGGAAACCCAATCCTCATCAGATCATGGAAAAGCAGGCTTATAATTAATTCATGTGCCCAGCCATTTGTGCTTATAAAACCTCTCCCTAGTGAGCTCAAGAGCATCCCAAGTTGGAAACACTCATGAAAGAGAAGATGCTCAGTTATCACTGGATGTCAAAAAGGAGCTCCCTTTTGCTAACCTAAATCCATAACAAAACTGACAAAATGAACAAATATTTCAGCATCCAGACACATTTTCTAGATACTCAGCTTACTTTAAAAAGCAGTCAAATGGAAGTTGTGGTGATAGTGACCCTAGATCCAAACTTGTATCAATACTAAGGCTTCCATCAGTTTTAAAATAACCTTTGAAGCTACAGTTGTATTTCAATTTTGCATGCACGGACAAAGCTTGATAGTCACTGCTTCCATATGGTCGTAACTCAGAACACCGGCTTTTGCTTTTTCTAAGCATTGGAAATACAAGACATCACATCAAACTTACGCTTACGGTGCTTATCTTAGCACAACAAGCATTCAGCTATTAAATTTATCTTGGAGTAACTTATACATCACCCAAGACGACAGAACCTCTATTTTTCCTGGTTTTTGGGCAACTGCTATCAATAATTAAAATATATGCAGCCCATAAAAGTGTAAAAATGGCATACAATAAACCAAATGATATTTGGATCAGAGCAGACATGCTGTTCATTTTCAATTTGTTAAACTGTTTTTATAAATCTACATAAAATTGCCACAGAAATTAAGTTTCTCTGTCAGAACTTTAAAGAGCAACATCATTCCACACAATTCAGGTCCAAGGCCCTTATAGGTATGCT